TAAGCAAGATGTTCTAGCAGGTTCCACCACAGAGGTATAAATATAAGGCCTACTCTGCCTGGGGACTGTCTCTTCAGACTTGGTCTCTTAGGATCATCCACAGGTACCTATACTGTAGATAGGTCTTAGTCATCAGGTCTACTCCACTTCCTTGTTGCCTGCTTAGACTCTTGGCACTCTTAGGTGAGCAGACTTAGTCAGCCTGTGTTGCCCTAACAGTCTTCCAACAACCAGCACATAAATTTCCTGTCAAGTCAAGTCACATTAATTACAGGTGTCCAATTTACAGGCTTTATAGTCTATGCCGGGCTCTGCCCAGCCCTGCTGTGCACCACCTTGTCAGCCTCCTCAACTGTTTCCCCAGCGCCCTTGATCATTGCAAGAAACTTCACCACCAAAGGCAGCTTGAGGATCTGGCAGAGTGCCCCTAGAACTATCACAGTAGTTAGTATTTGTTAATATATCATACAAGTAAGGAGGGTGGCTTACCCATCAGCACTGCAGCCTTGAGAATCGAAGGCCTGTACTCCACCACAAAGGTACCTGCAGCCTCCAGAACCTCAGTCTTTGCCTGCATGCAGTGGACGGCAAAGCGCCCCTTCCACCTCCTCATGCACTCCTTGAAGCCTGGCTTTGTGCACTCCCTGACAGCATTGACCTGGCCAATGCTGGCCTGTACAGCCCATGCCTTGTTGAGCTTTGCTTGGCAAGCAAGTGCCAGCCCAGCCTTGACCTCAGTGTCTTCTTTGGCATGTGCCTTGACCTGCTTCCAGTAACCCCAGGCATATCCTGCTTCTCCTGTGTGCATGATCTCAGCCTGGAATAAGCTCTTGGTGGCTTCTGCTATGTCGCACTGGGCCATCCACAAGCCCTTGAGCTCAGCAAGGGTGAAGGCCTTATCAGGAGGAGCAAACGTTGATGCATCAACAGCCTGCTCTCCCTCCTCCTCCTCCTCCTCCTCCTCATCTTCCTCAGCTGCTTGGGTGTGCTCAGGCTCCATGTCATCATCCTGTGAGAGGCATCAGTGAGACTATATGCATGCTGGTCTTCTGATGACCAGCACAACTACATATCAGCAGCCTGAGGTAGCTGTATGCATTTGCTGATGCCAGTACTTACCTCATCATTCCTCCCCAGACTCACAAGCTCCTGAACCTCCACTATACTCAGCGTAGCCCCCTCCTTCCCTTTTGACCACACCATTTCATATAGGGCCTTGAGGACTGTGACCTCTTGGGTGGTCAGCACAACACAGGCATCATTCTTCTTGCTGCTGCTTGCTCCAGTGACCTCTAGGACATTCTTCTGCTTGCCCTTTACCTTCTCACCCACTGCAGGCATCTTGAGCATCAACACAGAATTGTTTGCCTTCTTGCATGCCTTGATGATCAAACACCATGGGTCAATCACTTCCTTGAGGTTGCTGAGCAGCTCCTTCTCCTGCACAAAGAAGGAGCTTGGCACCCTAGAAGCTGTTGAAGCAGGAGAGGCAGGAGCAGAGACAAAGTCGGCATTGGACATGGTGGTGGATGGAGTGAGAGACAAGAGAGACAGGGGTTAGTGCACTTGGGCAAGTTTGTGCAGCCTTGAGGAGCTCAGAAACTGATTCCATCCCCAATGGTGGCGAAGTACTATTTGTTGCCCCTATACTGGCCTCAAGGCAACAATGCGGCACAGAACAAAACCCGAGAGTGTCAATTGTAAATTAATATCTTGCAGTATGCAGTAGACATCACCTCACTTTGATATGTAGTTGTGCTTGTTGTCCCCATGAGGCAGACACAAGCACAAAAATGGAGGCAGCTTCCTTTGCCACAGTCCCATAGGTCATTGAACCACTACATGTTAGGTTACCTAGCTGTTGGAGGTGGGATTATTGTGAAATACTAGAGATGAACATTTTCTGCGAAGCACTAGTGATAGATCGACAATGAGAACAAAGTGATATCAACATCGGACCCCTCATCAGGCCATCTCGTAATTGTCGGTGTTGCCAAATCCGGCCCTTCCCCAAGGCACAGATCTAAAGTGTCCGACAGCTTTAGGAGCTTGGTCATTGCCTCAAGCCTCCTCCTTGCTGTCTGACACCAAACCACCATCTCCTTAGTGCTATACTCCATAATGCTTCACTCCAAGCTATCTCATCCCTACCTACTGTCAATCCATCCTCCTCCTTGCCATTCTACACCTAGCACCATAACCCTGGTGCTGTACTTGGTCGTTGACTTCCAAGCTAATCTCATCTCATAAGTACTAGTCTCTGACTCTATCTTACACCCCCCAAATTCTAACGGACAAGTGATTCGCTGGTGCGAACCCGTTTGCACCAGTATGGGGGTGCATTTAGGGGACCATACAGGTCCTGTTGACGAGCATAGGGGCATCGGTGCGTTTAGATAGGCATTGTGAAACGTCCCCTGGCTGATCACGTCTACAGATCCAGGTGCTCCAGTCTCTTCCTCCAGAAGATTATGCCCTGAGCGAGCGATCGACAGGGTCTCTCGGGGCTATTTGCCAAATGTCGAACCAGTTTCTGACGACCAGCACAACTACACTTCAAGCACTGAAGGCCTGCGCGACAGTGCAAACCCTGCCTGCCTGTGGGGCAGTGGAGCCACCGACACTGCAGCATCCTTGCAGTACGCCGACCTAGCTTGCTGCGACGACCAGCACAACTACATATCAAGATTCTCACCCTCGATTCATCACACCCCTCCGTGGACCCCCTCTTCTGACATCACCATCTCCCCGGCTGTCATTCCCCCCTCCGCCAATGCTGCGGCGTGCATTCCGCAGAGTGCTGCGATGGCCAGCTGTCCGTCTTACTCAGCTCTTACCTCTCGCCATGGCAGCATGATCCACACTGGCAACAGTAACGGTGATGATGTTCAGCTTGAGCATGGCCTTGAAGGCGGTTCCTATGTTCCCGAATTCGATCCACCCTCTTACGACGCATCATTCCATGTTCCAGCATCCGAAGGGCGTCAAGAAGAGCGGGAGGTTCTCCCATCTTACCGGCGGAAGGAACTTCTGCCTCCCGCCTGGAGTCCGCTGAAAGTCAAGAAGAGGCGAGCCCCAGCTTCCACCATTCTAGCAAGATCGTCTTCACCACCCTCCTCTATGCCACCCTTCCTGGCATCCTCCAAGTCCAGCCTACGCCACTCCTCGTGGTATCTGAACCAATCGGCCATGGTCGCTGCCTGTCAGGCTGACGCGGAGAGGGAAGTTGCCGAGGCTCTGCGGCAGAAGAAGTTCAAGAGGCTGGGTCATGGCGGTTCAACCCGACTTATCCTCGGAGCCGCGTAGACTCTGAGCAGAACCCATCGCATCAACTCTTCTTCCTCGACCACCCCATCCTTCGCATTCAACCAAACTATTCACCTATCCTGTGCCTGTGCTATCTTCACAAGGCAGCCCCAGCGGGATGCCTTGTGCCATTCCTGACACCATGACAACTCCACACCGAGTGCGTGCTCGCTTCAGAGCAGCCTACTTGCACTCTGTAGTAGTTCTACCTAACCCACATGTACCTTGCCCTTAGGGCTGTAACTGACCTACATTAATACTCTCGTTAGGAAAAAATGTCCCTTTACCATCTATGGTTACATAATCATAGGCTAGGCAAGGTGACATCCGCGGTCAGGGCCTGGAAATTCCCTAAGGTTTCTCCTAGGCCTCTTCTTCAATACCTATCTGTATCCTCAACCGTCTTATTCGCGCATATCACTTATATTACCTGCTCGACACTAGAGAGTTAGGTGGGAAGACGAGCAGAGTGGAACCAATGGCAAAGTGAGTCTGAACAGCGTTGCTCACTTTGGACTATGCTGACATGCATTGTTTAGCAATTGCAGTGCTGCAAAGAAGATCATGCCAATTTCGATGATCAGGGGGCAGGAGCGATGCATGTGCCGCTCTTGCAAGTCTCCGGCGAGGCCTCAATGCGTTCTGTGGCCACCCAGCAAGATGCGCTCGCACCAGCGAGCGATTACTAGGTGCACAACTCATCCGGAGCTGCACAGGCAAAGCCAACACGAGTCGTCTTGGATGGCCGATGTTTCAATGGACTATGGAGGGGGCTTGGAAGTCGACAATAATGCACAAGATGATGAACAAGATGCGGACGGCGAGATGCTCATCGAGGAAGACTTGGTTCGTCCTTCCGACGATAGTATCACATCTGGATCAGTGACAGTGCGTTGCCTGACTTCCCCGCCTCTTCCTCCTTTGCCGTCCATGCCTTGTCCAAGCTCAACATCTGAAACGTCTATTCTGCTCACGGCGGATCCTGAAGCGGCGTATCCGCCGTCTCCTTCCTCTCCGCTGTCACCAATCCCAGTTCCGAATAACGAGCTCTGTCCGCACCGACCACCTCCAGCCTGTCAGACCCTGCTCCCTGGCGACACGCCTTCAATTCCAGCTACAAATGCCCCTTCTCCTCCAGCTCAACCCCATTTCCCGACAGCAATGGAGATTGAGGACGAGGAAGAGCTCGAGTCGCCTTTCGACATCAACTCACTCGAGCAGGACGAAGGCATGGCAATAGCAGATCTAGGCATACATAATCCGTTACGAGAATGCACCAGTGGTCCGCTGCGATCCTCAGAGGTTCCTCTGGAGAGCTACCTCCGAGTCCATGTCAATCCGGGCATACGAGCACTCTGCCTGCTCGTTCTGCATCTCCACGCACGGTATCAGTTACTGCACCTTGCTTGTGCTTTTCTTGCTTCGATGGTCTATGCGATCTTCGAATTCTTTAGAGTCTTGAGTCCATCAACAGCGTTCACTCTAACAACTGCTCCTCCTCGATCTCTCAACACCATGTATCGGCGTTTGCGGCTCTGGGATAGATTCGAAGTCAAAACGATCTGTCCCAAATGTTGGGAATTCGAACGTTTTGACGAGGCGCAACCTGACCTCGATCTCCTCGAAGAGATGGGCCTTCCGGATGCGGCAGAGGCAACAAATCAGGCAGAAGAGTGGCAGCGATACTGCTCGCGCTGCCGCTCGGCTCTATATGAACCATCACCTCGGTTCGGTGCTCCTCGCGCACTTCGACAAGCCCCGTACGATCTTTTGTCCCGGCAGCTCGCAGACTTCCTGGGTCAGCCAGGTTTTGAAGATGCATGCGAATCATATCACGACACACCAAGTGTGCCTGGGGTCTACACCCGCCTACAGGATGAGAGTGTGTGGAAGGAATTGAAGGCTCCAGACGGCTCACCTTTCTTTCCTACCTCCCGGGAAGAGGCTCGACGTCAGGCAGAGCTGCGACTTGGTCTGCTGGTTGCTATGGACTGGTATGTGGTGCATGCTCTGGTATAACCCCCATCGGACTGACTGCACTTAGGTTCAATCCAAACGATTCTGCTACATCCGAATCACACTCCACAGGCCCGTTGTCAGTCTGTATTGCCAATCTCCCGCCTGAGCTAAGGTACGTGCTGCCCTGCAGTGAAAGCCCCTAGCTGACATCAGACAAGATTTCGAGTACACAACTTATGCTTGGTTGGAATACTTCCTGGGCCAAATGAACCGGACACAGAAGGAGTGCAGCGGTTCATTCGACCCATGGTGGACGACCTAGAGTTGCTGTATGAGGAGGGGATCAAGGTGATCACTCCCCAGCACCCCGATGGTGAGCCTCTAACGACCAGCACAACTACAATCAACCGACTGATCATGCCTGTTAGGGATACTAGTTCGAGCGGCAGTTGTGTGTATAGTATCAGACCATCCAGCCCATTGCAAGCTTTGTGGTACTGCTGATCACAGGCACAATGCTCGGCCCTGCACTCAGTGCGAAATCCCGCGATCCGACTTATTCAACGCCAGTTGGCAACCCCATGGGTTCCCTCTCAGAGACGGCTTACTCCACAAACGTCGTGCTGCGCAATGGTATTGGCTGCAGCAGAACGGGAAGTCTAAACTCGCCAGCAAGTATTTCACACGATACGGTGTACGATGGTCCGAGTTCTGCGGACTCAGATATTTCGACCCAATCAAGCAAGGGGCGCTGGATCCTATGCACCTCTTTCTACCAGGTATGCTCATACTTACTCCTGCGATCCCCCTCTGATGCTCTGATAGGCATGATGAAGACTGTGTGGTACAACAATTGGGTACTCGGGGGGAAGGAGAAGAATAAGGTTCTGAGGGGAGCAACGGAGGCCGGCACCCGACGAGAGCTGGACGAGATACATGATGTGTTGGCTACAGTAAGCTTATCCTTTGTGCAGGATTCAGAGGTTCTAACACTTCTTCCCTCCCCACCTCTGCTCCTGCGCGTCCATGTTCTGAACCCCCTCGAACCGTGACAGTTTGAATTTCCCAGCTGGTATGCTCATCTTCCAAAGAAGATAGGTTATCCTGCTGGGGGAAGTTTGACATCAGATGAATGGCGCGCTCTGGGAGTGCTATACGGACCGGCTGCAGTAAGCTGGATCACATCTGCACACTCATTGTTGCTAATGCTTGCAGATCCCGCCTGTGCTGCTTAAGACAGCTGACCCGGTCCACCCCAGTGCTGCTCGCAACTACCTGAAGCTCGCCACTGCCATCAAGATCTACCTACGCCGTGAGATCACAGAATCCGACCTGGTACGGCAGCGGACGTGTACAGGGACTTCTTTGAAGAGTTTGTGCAGGTAAGCGACCAGCACAACTACATATCAAACTAGGTCTCACATTCGGTTCAGATTTACGGCGAAGCCAACGTCACGCCAACCTTCCACTGGATCACTCACATGGCGGAGCAGATCCGGTGTTTCGGACCTGTACATGGCTTCTGGACGTTTTTGTTTGAGCGCCTGAATAAGGTGCTCAAAGGATACGAAACGAATGGACACAAGGGAGGAGAGGCCGAGTTGACATTTGCAAGAGAGTTCAAGCGTGAAACAGGCTTGTCTCGCTTGGTGGGTCTGTATATGTCAAATCGATCATGCTGACACCCTTTTAGAACACCATCCTCGCAGGTCAGAGTCAAGATCCGCTGGCCCGTCTTCTTGCCGTTGAGCTGCAAAGGCGCTCGAGAGATATCGCACGTATCGGCATGCTGGCTGCTATGACTGCAGAAGCGCAGGATGAAGCCGCAGCCCAGTCTAGGCCAGCGTCTCGAGGAAGCTGCATCTTATCAGGTACCGCACAACGTCGCCCACTTGATCAAGACCTTTAAGAGCAGCTCCTGAGTTGGTATCAACGCCATCACCCTTACCTCAGCGTTCAGCACCCCGGTGACCCCACTGCACCACGAGGCAGCGTCTTCCTCAACAGTCAAGGCGACTTCCATTCCGAGCTGCGGCTAGAAGGGAAACGGATTGTTCCCTGCATCAAGGAGAAGATCTCCAAGTCCGACTCACTTGTACTTTGTCAGTTTCGAGAGGGTGTGCAGTGGGTAGGTGAGCTGCGAGGCCTGGTCAGTCACCTGCAGCCGGGTTTGGTTGATGTGCAAGAGTTCGCCATTGTCGCCTGGCTGGTGCCCCTTCAAGATACTCCTCCCCATGCCGACCTGTACGTCGACTTCAAGGAGCTCGAAGTCGACTTTTGGCAATACGCACGGTACCGGCAGCTGGCCGATGTGGGCCCGGACGCGATTATTCCAGCCCACGACATATGTGGGACAGTAGCTCGGTGTACGATGGAAGTAGGAGGACGCAAGATGTGGATTACTATGGGATTGAGCAAGGTACGTAAGTATAAAACATAAAGAGAGACAAGAACGCTAATCGCAGGCTAAGAATGGGAGATCACTCTAACTACGTTTTTTGTTTGTTTGTCGTTGTGTTGTGATGTTCGTGTAGCTGGTGTGGTTTGTATGGTAAGGACCTGTATGACAGTGAGTCGATGAATATCTGCGGGTTAGGGGTACTGACGGGAATTTGTTGCAGAACGAGGAATTGTGCTGGCGCCGTCGACCAGCACAACTACACATCATCATCTGCAGCAACCCCTAGGACATTGGAGGCCGGAGTAGTAAGCATCTTCTCCCAGACAGGGCCATTGATGTCGTCCGGATAGAAGGGCATGGGCTTTCAGTCTGCATACTTCGGGAGCTCTTGCTCCCTCCAGGTCGGATCAAGCATGAACTGGAAGGGGGCGTGGTTGGGAATCAAGGGGGACTCGGCCGAGATCCACACGCTTGTACTCTCGGTGCGTATGCATCCTTCTCCCACTGGATGTCTGCCGGCGGCTTGGGCGATCAGCCAGGCGTTGATTGATCCAATCCCGTATCTGCGATACGGTAAGCCTGTATGTCTATGTCCAGTTCTACTTATTAACTCACTCCTGCATGCATCCAAATGGGCTTTCGCTTCTCGAGGATCGCGACATCAGGATCGTCGCGCTCCGTCAGGGAGATTGCACCTGCCTCGAAGAGCTTTTGCCTCCAGCTCTTGTTTCGCGTCCCGTCCTCATCACAGGACCACTCCTCTCCAACCATTCCTCGTCGACCAGAGCATTACGCATCTCCTGATGGTCGAGATCATGCTCCTGGCAGAAGTCAACAATGGCGTCCCGGGGTTGCTGGCCGCGCTGCGGATCCGTACGTGAATTCAGCTCCATGTGGAAAGGAGTCGCACTGACCGTCTTGCGCCTCTCGATTCTCCGAGCCTCTCGTTCCCTCCGCATTTTCTTCTCACCGCCGTCCAACTCAGCAAGCCTCTGTTCAGTGTGCATCAACTTCATCGCTGGCCAGGAAGCACGCGCAAGATCAAGTAGGACGCCAGCTTGGAGCCATCGCTCACGGTGGGTCTCGGGGACCGTCCCAGGGTGATCCTAGAAGGTACATGATGTGTAGTCATGCTGGTCGTCGCGATATGCTGACAGACTTACACGCTCGTAGGCAAGCACCATTTCGGCCTCACGCCCTTGGATAAGTCGATTCGGTGGGGCATTTATGCCAGCCTTGAAATCCGGCACAAGGAACAGACCAGAGCGTGCAACAAGAGGACCGCTGATGTCGGGCATAAGCGCGCCCCTCTGGTATCCGATCAGGTTGTACATTGTCTTGCGGACTTCCTTCTATGTATGGGTAAACTGACTGCAACCAGTACGACGACGTGAAGCTCACCTGCAGGTACGCGCGGACTGGGAGGTCCATTTCGTCCAACCGATCTCTCTGTAGGCGGCTCACGAGGTGCGTACCGCACTGATGCTTGGAATACGGTTCCTCATCGTCATCAGTGAGTCGAGTGGGTCTGCGACGTCTCCTCGTACTAATGCTGGCATCCCTATGAGCTTGTTCCAGGTCGGTCAATCGGTGAAGGAGCTCTTCGACTCCGGACTCAGCATGCAATGCGACGTGAGGATCATCGGGAGACGGTATGGAGGGCGATAGAGGGAGAATGGAAGGAGCACTAGTGGGCACAAAATGATCGGGACGTGAAGGAGGAATCCGAGTCATTGAGGGAGAAGAGGACAAGTGGTGCTGAGAGGCTGCGGAGGGCAGAGACGACGAAGGGCTGGGACGCGGTGAGTTGATATGTAGTTGTGCTGGTCGTCGAGAAGCGAGACTTACCCAGCTCCAGGAGCCTTCCTCGTGAGCAGCTCCATGACCTGAGCGACGACTTGGGACGAGGTGGTCTCGCTGCCCACTTGATTTGACTGCAGCATGGCGATCAGATTGGCCGCCAGCCTCTCCGTATCGTGTGCCCCTTCGGTTGCGGAGATCGACTGGCTCGGGCTTCCAGAGGTGGACATGGGGAACGTGAGCAAGTCAGGCAGTCAGGAGAGAAAAGATGTCGATGGTTTGGGACTGGCAAATTTGAATCTATCTGGTTTGTGTATATGGCGACGTTCGACCTGAGCAAATTTCTTAGGATATTTTCCGAAGTATTAATATTTACTAGTATTCATGACAACCCGTTTAAGGAAAGATGGTTGGGGCAAATGAAATGTAAGATCTCACAGGCCGAGAGCAACCCGTTTAAATCTGAGCTTCCTCGAAGACTTCTTGATGCACAGCAAGGTCGGACTTTTCTGTTTATCACATATGAGATTTCCTAAGGCTGATTAAATGGTCTTCGAATGCTATTCTACGGACAAGTGTAGTTAAGATCACCTACCTGGAAATGGCCTCGATGAGGTGAGTTTGATGACCTCGTCTAGCCATAAGCAAGCAGGCCCTGAAATGCGGTGATTACACCGGGCGCCTGAGGCCGTTCATCTCGTCACTGAACGACCATAATGTATATTCTCTACTTCTCCTGTACTTTGACAATGTGCTCTGGTAATGTGCTTGAAACACGGATTGCGTCAAAGGACCTCTAGTCTGAGATGTGGCAACACAGCTTCGCTCAACTCGGTCGGGAATCTGCGGCGCTGCAACAGTATGTTATTGAAGATCAGACTAGTATTATAACAGTCATTCAAGCTGATCTAAGGGAGCTGCCAACTGTGATGCGAAATTCCTCGGTCGATCAACACCAGAAGACACAAACGGCTGAGACCTGACACGTCTTTCTTTCTGGCGCCGCACCTTCCTAATATGGGAACGATCGAGACTCTGCACGTGAAATGGGTGTCCTACCTATAGATCGAGCAACGTCCTCCAAGCTATAAAGACACTCGATCCCCCTCGCACTCTCTCACAGCTCTCGTCTCTTCCTCCATCAAGCGTACACGCATATATCTACCTACCATTCGCATAATTTAAAACAATGCACTCCTTTACCGTTTTTTCCGCCCTCATCCTCGCTGCGTCCGCTCTCGCCCTGCCCGCTGTTCCGCTTGCACGAGCTCGTACGTCTTCTATCTAAAGCAAGAACCTAGCTATATGCGCCTTTTACAGCGGAAGCAAGCATGCCAGTGCGCTCCCTTCAAGAGCGACAGGACAACACGATCGGCGACTGCAACACCACGGGACAATACTGCTGCGACCAGACGCTTTCCCAGTCGTCCGCTTCAGCAAACGCCATCACGAGTCTTCTGTCCCTTCCCCGCTCTGTGACACCGGATCCCGATCGCTCCCTCGGCTTCTGTTGTTCGCCCCTGGCCAGTATCCTCCATTCTGGAAGGCAGTGCACGACTAAGCAGGTGTGCTGCAAGGGGTCGCAACAGATACAGAGTACGTTGCTCGGTATCAACTGCTCGCCGTTGTCGTTGTAGTACTTTCGTTCGCCTTTGTATTAAGCGGCAGGATTGTAGGCTGAGAGGATGTAGACTATACAGTGTCGCATACATGTACAACAGACTAATGCAAACGCTCATCACACTCATCGGAACGCTTGAATGCTGCAATGTTGATGCGATTAGGATGTACAGTGTCGTTGTTATTGTAACATATATAAGAGCGGTGATACTAGTTGCTTCTGTGTACATCCTCCTCATCCTGCAAATGCGTCCTGATCGAGGTCGATCCCGAGGTCATCCTTTGCCATCCCCGTCAGCTGCTTCTGCAGTAATTCCTCAAACCCATCATTGTCCCTGCTAAACCATTGCCGTATCCTCGTCACCCAAAAGGTCAAGTCAATGACAAACACCGTCACACCGAACATCCAAACTTGTAGTGTCCTCTTAACCCAGCGCATAAGCGCGTCGGGCGTGAAGAGCGCATGGGAGAGAGCGAACGCCGCCGGGCCCTGGGGAAGAGGAACGGGTGGATGTGTCGCCAACCCTGTCACTGCCCAGTGAGCGAGGATGTTGATCCTGTTCGAGGGCGAGCCAAGTGCTTGATTGTTCGCTTGCATCATCCGCATCGTTCGTGTGATAAAGATGATCTCCCGTGGGATCAACTAGATCAATATAAAGTCAATAAATATGCAGCATATATGCGCGTTGAATGACCGACCTGCTCGTTCTCAAGCAGAGTTTTGAGGAGCACTTTCAAGCTTCGTTCTTGTTCGAAACGGGACATTTGCGTCTGGGGCTCTTCGACCTTCTTTTCCGGTTGTTTGCGCTTTAACCTCGTGGGTCGGAGGAGAGTCGCTGATGCTGCAAGGCGTTGTTAGTGCATGAACTGTGTGAGAAAGACAACAACGTACCGAACATGTCTGAATTGCCTATTCCCCAAGCCTTGGCTATTTGGTCCACTGTATCCGTGTCCATAGCGAACAACGAGCGCCAGAGCAGGCTGTACTCGTGTCTGAACTTTTCGGAGAGGGGAATGTAGAGACCGTGGTCGATCAGGATCTGTGCAAATGAGTTAGGGGAATATTGACTGGGGAGGGATAGCATACGATTTGGGGTTTGGTGGGGTGCTTCGGATCTCTACGTGCTAGGACGTTACCGGGATGGGGATCACAACTAGCAACGGTCTCAGGCTTGTACACGTAGACAAAAGCGTTGCAACTCACTGTACCCATCCCCAAGAGAAGATCATGGCGGAGAAGGTATTGAGAGCAATGTTCATCGCTTCTTTCGCAGGGATTCCCCAAGCCGCCAACCTCCCTCTGTCCGTCAACCTCGCGCCGTCATAGAACTCGGCTGTCATAACCCTTGTGCTGGTCCACTCTGGGAATACGCGGGGGACAATCACCTTGTCCCGCAAGGAAGGCTCGGACTCGACCAACGCACGCGTCCTCTCTGCGTTCCGGGCTTCGTTCGCAAAGTCAGTCTCATTCCGTATTTGGTCAGTTATGTCTGGTGCATATTAATGATTGATAGGTGAGGGGACAGAGAAATACGCACAGTCGGCCATCCAGTAGCAAGGAATGTCGAATAGCTTCTCGTAGACGTAAAGCAGCGAGCGATAGGAGAAGAGATCCCATTCGATCTGAACAGGTATTGCAGGCTTTTGGACCTGTTCGTATGGTCAAGGGCTGATGATCTCCATCATTAATTCATATATCAAACCTTGACAGCAACCCATTCTCCAGTATCCTTCAGCTTCGCCTTGTGCACCTGAGCAATACTCGCGCTCGCAATCGCGCGCCTTTCGAAGACCTCGAACGCCTCTTCTGGCGTGATACCAAACTCCTTCTTGAACACCTTTTCCACGTCTTCATACGGGATCTGGGGTGCCGCATCAAATATGGTCGCGAACGCTTCCCTATATGGTCGGGGAAGGACGGCAGCCTGGATGGCGAGGGATTGACCGAGCTTGATGAATCCGCCCCCGTTCTTGGTGCAGATATAGTGCAGCCTTCTAGCGACGCGCTCGTGCAGCGTTTCGATGTGGTCTACATTATGCGGATTGAAGTTGAGCTTGTAATCAGCAGCAATCAGGGCTCTGGCGTATGATTAGCTTTTCGGGATTGCGAATACATAGGATGGTGCTTACCCATAGAAGAAGGCACGCCCTGTACGCCCAAGACTCTGCTCATAGAAGAGGTTGTCGATCGTCACCACTGTTGCGGCTACTGCGCCTATGCTACCCAGAGTGTACAGCAGCCTTCGTCGTGTTCGACGTGGTGCAGCTTTGGTAGAGGCATGACGCTGGGGTATCGGGGGTGGGCATCGTCTCAGGGCCGAACGAGCGAGTGTTGCCAATGAAGACGTCGACACTCTTGCTGCGCTGAATATATTCATGACAAGAAATTAAAGGCAAGCTAGTGACACATGAAGAAAGTATGAAAATAATAAAAGTTGAAATGCTTTATAATAGTGCAGTGCGGAGAATCGCGGCTTGGATGACGAACAACGACGGCGGGACAGACAGGGACTGAACTGGAATGGCGCCGCCGACTTCTCCGGGGCGCGGCGTGAATGGAATGTTTGCTGTCCTTGACCGTCTTCTTCAACGTCTCCTTATCTCCTGGATATCTGGATTGTAATATACCATGAGCGGTCTGAGCAAGGTGCAGGCAGAACGCAACCAGCGTGTCGTCATTGAGCTTGCACAACAGCCTGGCAACGGTACGTCTGTCCTTCCTCCACTATTGGTATTGCTAAGCCAGAAGGGCAGATGTCTGCGCGGACTGCAAGGCACGACTACCGAGATGGGCGAGCTGGAATTTAGGTATATTCTTGTGCGTACAATGCGCGAGTGTGCACAGGAAGATTGGGACGCATATTACCAAAGTGTGAGTGCATGGGTATCACACTAGAGTGCAGGGCTGAGTGTGTTCGCAGGAAGAGCTTGACATTGGACAGTTGGACGCGTGAGCAGGTCGATGTGGGTCTAAGTGCGCAACAGTTGTATCCCATCTAATGCATTCTGTAGAGCATGAAGAATATGGGCAACATCAAGTCGAATGCATACTACAACCCCGACGAACGACGTAACCCCCCTCCAACAAACATGGAAGACACAGAGCGGGACAGCGAGCTCGAGAAGTTCATTCGCGCGAAGTACGAATACAAGAAATTTCTTGCTCATCCAGGTTCGGCGGCGGCGCAGGCAGAGAAGAAGGCGAATGGGCTATTGCCGCCTCCTCCCCCAAAGGACCAAGTGCCTAGGAGCAAGACGGCCCCTCCGCCCCAGGCGCTGGCGAACAAGCCCAGCCCACCACCTGTGCCGGCGAACGAGAGCCCCGCGCGTATGCCCTCATTCGCTCAGCAACCACCGTCCACCCAGTTCCAGCCTCAACCTCCACCGCCTCAGCTGGGGATGAGGCCAATGTCATCTGCGCCAGCGTTTCCTCAGCAGCCGAGGATCCAGCTTCCGCCGCAGATGCCTCCCCGCCCGTCAGCGCAACCTCCTACACCCTCCGTTCTGCCGCCTAGTAGCCCAGTGTACGGCGATATGATGGCCCTCCAGACTGGTGGACCTTTGCCTCCATCCGTCAACCCTATGGTAGGGCAGTCGATGTCTATGCCACCCATGGGAGCGGCGCCAAACCCCTTCCAGGCGCTGCAGCAATCAGGAACGCCCACGTACCCTTCTGCATTCAACACCTTAGGAAGGAGTCCTTCGAGGAGTGTCTCCCTCCCCGTTGGCGCACCAACACTCGCCATGCAGGCAACAGGGATAAACCCCTTCTTCGCGCAACAGCAGCAGCGACAATCAATGCAACAGGGTGCGCTCTTACAAGGTACGCCGACTACCGGATATCTACCCACGCCACCCGCGATGCCCTCGTCTTTCGCCCTGCCAAGCGCCAACGTGCCACCCATCAACATTCCCCCTGTTCAGCCCCAAGCAACGGGATACTTCCCCTCCCCGCAGTCTACAGGTTACCTTCCTCCCTCCCCATCTGCTGGCTTCCTGGGACCTCAACCAAGCACATCTCCCTTCTCTGCGGCGTACGGCTCGTCCGCCCCCTCGACCTCCCCATTCCCGCAGGCATATCCACAGTCTTCCCCATCTCCGTTCGGAAATATCCAGCAGCCAGCGTTCACAGGGACACCAACAGGGTACGGCGCCCCTCCGACTCCATTTAGTCAGGTTGGAGGGGGAAGTCCGTTTCCCCAGCCCCAGCAAGCGCAGCCGCAACAGGGGAATCTGGGTGCATTCGCGAGCGGGATGATGCCTCGGAACAGTACGAACCCGTTCCAACGTTGATGTGTCCGATTCTCGTTCCAGGGACGAGGTAAGGGATGTCGGTGGGAGAGCTTAAGAGGAGGCGAAATCGTGTAGGGGCGTTATATCAGAGTATACCCAATCAGGATTGGCGGCGTGTAATGGTACATATGTACTTAGTTCTGCGAATCGGAGGTCACTGTTGTGCGATACCCTCTTCGAGTGGTTGGGTCGGTTCTTCCGCCTGAAGCACGGGAGGTCCAGTCTCCCATGGCTTGCGCCTGGCGGGCGTTCTGCTCTCGCTTGACTGCCCTTCCTACAAACGCCGGTAGAAATAAGCATGCGCTCATAGAAGGAAATAGAATCAGAGGCAACACACAAGCACAGTGTTAGGGATTATATCGTTGTTTGGTATTAGATCGGTGCGATTGGACTGGATGAGCTCTGCAAGTTGCGCAAACGAGAGAGGATAGGGTGCATCCCCTGCTGAAGGAGGTGCAGCAGTGTGGGGTTCGACTTGCTGCGATTCTGATTTCTCAGTTTCTACAGCTTCTTCTTGCTTGTTAGAGGATTCTGAGGCGGCAAGTTCATGCGGGTTGAGGGAGAGACCGGTCTTGCGATTGAAGTAGAATAACTGTGCTCGGAGGATCGTGTTGCTCAGCTCTGCTTCTGGAGGTGCGGTTGAGAGGATGGATTGTAATCCTTCCTGAATAATTATGTCAATATGAACATAATATAGAAAAGTAGTAATTACCTGAAATTCTTGATCAATATCGAATGGATATGCTAGAAATGCATCGATTGGAGATTGTTGTGATATTGTGTGGTGACTCGACATGGTGGAAAGAGTTAAGGTTAGGGTTGTAAGCGCCCAATTGTTGAGGCGCGTAAAAGGGACGCGTTACAGTCATTCATTGCAATTATCTTTTATATTGCTTGTAACATGGATGCACCATCGTAAGTCCCATCAATATAATAGTAATGCAGTAATTAAACACGCTGCAGTCCTGACCAGGTTCGACCATCGACAATACAGCATGACAGTCCGTTCTTCTTCCTCTCTTCATATCCCAGCTCATCATCTCCAGGGCCGGAGGACACATTCCGCATCCTGCTCGCAACCGACAACCACATCGGGTACAACGAGCGTGACCCCATCCGAGGTCAGGATAGCATAAATACTTTCAAAGAGATCCTCCAGCTCGCAGTTAAGAATGAGGTCTCCCCTTTCTTTCCCACAACCCTCACTAGTGCCTGATGGTGTGTGTAGGTAGACATGATCGTCCTTTCAGGTGACCTCTTTCATGAGAACCGACCGAGCAGGGATGTGCTATACGAAGTCATAGCGCTCCTCAGAGAGTACACGATGGGCAGCAAGCCGGTCGAGTTTGAGCTACTGAGCGATCCGGATGAGGGCAAGGCAGACGGGTTCTCGTGCGTCTCTGCGAATGCACTCTATTGTGGCGGCTGATGTGAGCAGATTCCCGGGCATCAACTCGGAGGACCCGAACTTGAATGTTGGTATTCCGGTGTTATCCATACACGGCAACCACGACGACCCACAAGGCACAGGCCCGGTGCGTATGCCCTTCCTCCCAAGACGCATAGACGCATATATTGACCGGAGTGCTCTAGGCCGGTGCACTTTCAGCGATGGACCTCCTCTCTGTGACAGGCCTGATAAACTATATTGGCAAGTCTGACCTTCCGCACGCGGACGAGTCCGCCGAAACCGATGGACTGCTTGTCAAGCCCGTCCTCCTGCGCAAGGGTACTTCCCACCTGGCAATCTACGGGATCGGGAATGTCAAGGATACTAGGATGCACTACGAATTACGGAGCAACAGGGTGAGGATGTACATGCCCGACGACGAGAGGGAATGGTTCAACATGCTGCTCATTCATCAAAATCGGTGCGCATGTATCCTTCTTCCAGCGTAGTTGAGCTCATAGGCAAGCGCAGGGTTAAGCACGGCCCCCAAGAGTCCGTCCCAGAAACGATGTTTGACGAGCGGGTGGATCTGGTGGTGTGGGGGCACGAGCACGATTGCAGGATCGTGCCCGAGCCTGTGGCAGGGAAGCCGTATATGATTACCCAGCCTGGATCTTCTGTCGCGACTTCCCTCGCGGAGGGAGAGTCACTTACAAAGTGAGTGCCCGTCGGACGGATCTTCATACCTCTTACTGCGGTCCAGATACGTCGCCTTGGTCGAGATCTTGGATGGGAAGTACGAGCTCACCCCTCTGGAGCTGCGTACCGTTCGGCCCTTCGTGATGGAGACCGTTGCTCTGCAGGACGAGCTCCGTTCCAAAAACATCGAGGTGGACGACCAAGCGGGCATCACCAAATTCCTCAAGCAACAAGCTGTGCAACTTATCACACGTGCCAATCGCGAGCGGGAGGAGAAGAACCGTCGAGCAGTGGAGAGGGGCGAAGAGCCGCTGGAAGCAATGCTACCGCTTGTGAGGTTGAGGGTGGACACTACGGGCGTGCCGGGCATGTCCAACCCGATCCGGTTTGGACAGGAGTTTACGGGGAAGGTCGCGAACCCGAAGGATATGCTGGTGTTTAGTCGGCAGAAACAGGCTGGTGGGTGCCTCCCTACACTCTCGCAGTCTCATGATTAATGTCTTCTGCATGAGCAGCGGCAAAGAAGACCGTCGCAGAGGCACCGGATCTAGACGACCTCATCGATCCCGACCTGCCGAACGCGGAGAAGTTCAGCCGGATCCGCGTTTCTGCGCTTGTCAATGAGTATCTCAAAGCGCAGAGTTTGGAGCTGCTTGCGGAGAACGGGATGAGTAATGCGGTCATGAATTATGTCGATAAGGACGATACGCATTCGATCTCTGAGTGAGTTGGAGCTTGTCAGTCGAGGACACTGCTGATGGATGGAAAGGTTTGTGCAGAAGACACTGAAGAAGATGCATAATGAGATTGCGAAGAGCAAAGGAGTCAACCTGGATAACGAGGCAATACTGCAGGAACGAGTGGGTGTCTGCTTCCGGTTGGCGCATAATGCTGACATGAAACTCAGTTTGACCGGATGAAGGAGTTGGAGGAGAAGCGGTTCGAGAAGGAACGTGCTGAGGAAGAAGATGAAGAGGAGGAGGTAGAGCAGGAAGTGAGGAAGCATGCTCCTACAAAGGTTCTCCCTTTCCGGCTTGCTGCAGCGAAAGGCTAACTTTTTACAGATGGCCCAGAAGGGGAAAGGGAAGAGCAAAGCTGTGGTTGACGACGATGACGATTTTATGGACGTTGATGGTGCCCACGCTGGTGCTGGAGACGATGACGACTTTGAAGACGACGAGCCTCCGAAACCGGCTGCGAAGGGGAAAGGTCGAGCCGCTAGTGCAGCCGCTACGCAGAAAGCGGCTGGCGAAGCGAAGAGTAAACCCAAGTCGAAGGTGCAGAAACTGGTGCGTCAGTTGCGGATGCCGGCAGAATAAGAGTCCTTATCGTCTACAGTTTGCAGATTCTGACGAAGATATGGAAGAAGACTTTGTGCAGGAAAGCGAGCTGGAGGAGGAGGAAGAACCCCCTAAGCTGAAAGGGAAGAAACCGACGACATCTCGTGCCTCGATATGGGAGTACGTGCCCCTTTCTCTGGGAAAAGGTTATCATTCACCCGAAGTACTCATTATCGTTAACCTAGTGCGCCGGCGAAGAAAACCCCGGAAGCGAGAAAGACGCCTGCGTCGGGTGCGAAAAAGGCTGCTGGGAGCTCCAAGGCCCAGTCTCAGCTGAGCTTTGCCCCTACGCAGACGACACAGCGGACTAGCAGAGCGGCAGCGAGCAAGGCGAGAGGGAGGCTGCAGGAAGCGGTGAGCGAGGTGCTTTATTATTAGCGGTGCTTGTACTGATTGTAGGACAGATCGAGATTAGTGACGATGACTAGATGATAGACGATAGGCGAGGAACGATAAGAGATCAATTAATATCCTTTAGGCGACCGGAGTCCCCGATCTGGTAATATGTGGTGCCTTGCATCGAGCACGTTTCCGCACTGTTGCAGTTCCGACATTCTGTATTTTTACAGATCGTTTACCCTGGTCTGTCGTATATCATCATTCATCATCGTGTGCGTAATCCCATTTTCTGTCGAGCACTCGTGTGATACGTTGTGCGTATGCGAACCGTCAGTTGGATGGAAACATGGAAAAAGCGTGGTATTCTCGAGCATAAGGTGAGGAGAGAGCCGCAGAAGGCATGGAGTACGTCATAGCCCAATCACGGGGTCGTCATTGTCTTTCCCGGGTGTGACGATTCGTAGAACGTACTAGCACGACGTCGACGTGACGAAGAGATCATGGGAGCGAGTAAACGGTTCGTGCGATGTTACGACACGTAAAAACAGAGAGCTTCTTGTGCGGTCCTGTCGGATCGGAGGCACCGCTTCCGGAATCCGAGGAAGAGTAACTGGTGCATTCGCACATGTTCGAAAGACGAAAGAGAGTAGACGTGTCCCTGGTGTTTGTATCCCTTTTTTCTAGGAAGATGGGCCTCACAACACGCTAGACCAACGCGATCAATACCTTAAACTTGTCTTAGGTGAGGCCTGGACCCTCGAGCTTTTGTTGTGAAGATTGAAAGGCGCACGTTGAGGGTGGTCGTGAGGGGTCGAGCGGAGGTAATTTAGGTCGTGAAGAGGAAAATGATGGCGAAAGAGCAGCGAGGAAGAGGTTATTCGGATGACGAAGGACGGATGACGGATTCCTTTTGTGGTGATGGTGCGTGGTGGATGGAACACGGCCAGAGGGGTGGTGTTCGGTGAGAGAGAGGAAGGGACGAACGTGTCCATTCCTTTCTTAGTGGGTGAAGAGTGATTGAGTACTAGTTGGAGTTGTAGATGATGAAGGTAGATAATATGATCCTTAGCACAGACGTACTCACATGGTTATTGAATACAATAGAAATGAATATAAATTGGAATGGAATGATTGTCCGATGATGTGGGAATAAACAGGGCATTGCCTCGTTCATGTGCTAGACTAAGAAGAGGGGTTCTGCCTCCGTGTTCGCCTCGTTGGAATTCTTCACTTAGCACACTCACAGAGTATATAGACCCAGCCTCTCTTGTTCTTCTCTTCTTTGAGCATCGCTCACCCACCACCACCCAGCGCATACACTTCCCCCTCCTCGCACCCTCCATCCCCCTCAACCATAACATCATGAAGGTGAGCATCCTTACACGTCGACATAGACAATGCTAACATCTACAAGGCATTGATCCTCGTTGGCGGTATGTTATCCCCACACTCTCACATGCACCATCTCACGCGCATACAGGCTTCGGCACGCGTCTCCGTCCCCTCACACTCACACTCCCCAAGCCTCTCGTAGAGTTCGCCAACAAGCCCATGATCCTCCACCAGATCGAGGTCCGTTCTGCGCGCATATACACCTCGTTCCCTCACTGAATACGTCACAGGCGCTTGTCGAGGCCGGCGTGACGGATATCGTGCTTGCGGTCAATTACCGCCCGGAGGTCATGGTCAAGGTGCTCGAAAAGGTCGAGGAGCAGTATAACATCAAGGTGCGTGATAATATGCGGTTCTGAACCGTTCTGAGCAATTTCACCCGCGCTAGATCACCTTCTCCGTCGAATCGGAGCCATTAGGCACCGCCGGTCCCCTCGCTCTCGCCCGCGACATCCTGGCCAAAGACGACAGCCCCTTCTTCGTGCTCAACGCGGACGTGACATGCGCATACCCCTTCAAGCAGCTTGCAGAGTTCCACAAGTCGCACGGGAACGAGGGCACCATCCTCGTCACCAAAGTCGCAGAACCTTCAAAATACGGTGTCATCGTTTCCCAGCCCGGGTCGACCAAGATTGACCGCTTCGTCGAGAAGCCACAGACGTTCGTCGGGAATCGCATCAATGCCGGCATGTACATCTTCACCCCGAAGATCCTCGACCGGATCGAGCTCCGTCCCACGTCGATCGAGCAGGAGATCTTCCCCGCCATGGCCAAAGCTGGCGAGCTGCATACTTTCGAGCTTGACGGGTTCTGGATGGACGTCGGGCAACCGAAGGACTACCTTTCCGGGACCTGCCTCTACCTCACCCATCTCACGAGCACAAAGTCCAAACTCCTCACTTACCCGGAGGGCAACTCCTACATCTACGGCGGCAACGTACTCATCGACCCTACGGCAGAGGTGGACCCGACCGCCCTTATCGGGCCAAACGTCGTCATCGGCCCTGGCGCCAAGGTCGGCAAGGGTGTGCGCCTGCAACGGTGTGTCCTCCTCGCCAACGCGCGGGTCAAGGACCATGCCTGGGTACAGAGCTCTATCCTCGGCTGGAACTCGACCATCGGCAAGTGGTCAAGGGTGGAGAATATCACCGTCCTCGGAGACGACGTGACGATCAAGGACGAGCTGTACGTCAATGGCGCCTCTGTCCTCCCGCACAAATCGATCTCGTCCTCCATCCCCTCGCCGACTATTGTGATGTAACTCCTCTACGCACAGCAAGCACGGCAGGCCGTCTTCCAGCGGAAACTAGATACTGACATGGACTAACCTCCCCTCCCTCGCCTCCCCTCGGACTCGGACTCTAACTCTGATTCGTTCCCTCGTTTGCTCTACTACCTGCGTTTGTGCATCCTACACCACGTATACCCTTGTTACTTGCTATCAGTAGAAATCAAGGCATGATAATCAACCTTTTTGCATGCGATTGGTCTGTCTGGTCTGTCCTCTGTTATGGTCTGGCCTGGTCTGTCGTTCACCGGGTATTGGTGACTGGTTCGGCTTCATATACTGGTGGAAAGGAGTTTCAGAGTAATCGGCCGATCGATCGAACAGGGAACGATGACTCTAACACAGGCGCAGGCGCAGTAGTGTGTTGGGTTTCTGGAAGTGCGCAGCAGGGCACGGTTTTCCGAGATGAACGCGCAGCAGTACCACGGTTATATGGTTATACGGTTATACGATTTCTGCAGATCTGATATTCTGCGATTTTACGACACTTGGGTTCATGTATTGGGTATTTGGGTGGTAGGAGGGGCTGAGGCAGTTGGCTGCTAACTACCTCTTGTATTGGGTAGATCCTATCTGCCCGGACAGTATCGAGGGAGCGTTGAGCGTCCCCGGCGAATGCCTTCACTCCTGCGCTCCAAGACTGGCATATACGAGTATGTAATGTAGTTCGCAGTTGTAAATAAGGGGACATAACAAATTGGACAACTTGCTTCATTCTGTTCTCCTTCTCCTTATGCTCGTGCTCGTACAGTAGATACTTGTATACATGTACCATACACCGATCCCCCCCTCTCCCCGCCCACTCGGTCTCGTCCCTCCTCCCTCATCGTCATGTTCCTCCTCTGCCTCCGCCTCATACTCGTCAAACGATAATAGTACACAAGAGAACCAGTCCGCCCCTGGATCCTGAACCAAAGAAAACAAGAGAGAGAAAAGACGAACACGGAGTGTTTTTTTGTTTGGCCAGAACCGGCCCGTGAGGATCGTGATGCTGGTTTGACCCCTCCAACACCCAGCACCCAGCACCCAGTATCAAACAGTCGGCAGCTGGCACCCAGAATCCCATCAACCCCCATCAGCTCCTCACCCTCACCTCTCGCCGCTAACGACCCCACCCACTCCCATTCCCACTGCGCCCGCTTCCCCCACCCGCACCCGCACCGCCAGTGTGCAGCCCTACAGCAGCCAAGCTCTGCTGAAAGGTCCCAAAGGGTACGTGCCCATGTCTATGTGCGTGCGCCTGTCCCTGCCCTCGTCCGTGTGCTTGCGTTTGCGCTTGGGTTGAGTACACAGGCTGGTAGTACTGCTGCCAAGATGCCGACATCTGTCCTTGTCCCTGTGCCTGTGCGTGTGCCTGCTGAGAGTCCTCGGAGTTGGAGTTGGTCGAGCAGCACCCTCCCCCTCCCGTTCCAGAGCCAGAGTTGATTTCCGACCGGGAAGATGGCTGCCGCGAGAAGTCCTCGGTAGGAGGATACCCCACCTGCCCAAGCTGGCCAAGCCCAAGCCCACCCAGGCTGACGGGGAGGAACGCCCCACCCGCACAGTCCAAACAGGTCGTGCACGTCTCCGGGCACCCACCAACTCCAGCTCCAACTCCATACCCATAGCCCGAGGCATAGCCGTACCCACCATAGCCGTACCCGTACCCCGAGGAGGGGGAGAGCGTGGGGTTGTGTTCCGTACAGCCGGGGCAGGGGCAGCTCCAGCCGCAAGAACAACGGGTTAGGGCTGCGGTTTCCGAGAGTAGCTGGGCGGCGGTGTACGTTGATGCGGAGGTGGAAGTCGGGGGGTTGGGGTTGGGGGTGTAGGGTGTATAGGTGGGGAAGGAGGAGGATGGGAGTGGGCGTGGGGAGGGGTACGCGCCCCGGGTGAGTGACGGAGTTGGTATTCGGCTACCGCTACCACTGCCGGGAGGGGCGAGGTCCGCAAGCGCCATCTCAGCATAGAGTGCCGCTTCGCCCGTGACGCTCCCCTCCCTCGCCTGTGCCACCCCAGCCGCCTGTGCACACCTGGGGCGCCCACACCCCCTCCCCCCAGCAGAGGCGCACGCACATCCCCTCCCACACTCCTCGGCACTGCCAGACCCTGCACACCCGCTCTCCGGCGAGCTGCCCGTCGCTGCTACATAGGCGGGGTCGTTGGCTGGTGAAGAGCTGGGTTTGCGCTTGGGCTTGCGTTTCGTCCGCGGGGTGGAGCAGTAGCATGCGCCGGTGCGGTGGCAGTCGCAGGGGTTGAGGAGGTTTTCGACTGCGCACAAGGGAGTTAGGACTGCAAGGAAGGGGGGGGGGGGGGGGGGGGGACGGACGGTAC